AGGAAAAGGAATCTGTTTTGGATGTTTGAAGGCTGGCCACATGAGCAAGGACTGCATCAGTCTGACCCGTGAAGAATGCAATCTAAAACACCCAACTATTCTACATATCCAGGACAAAGACAAAATTCACAAACCGCAGGAAATCCCAGTAAATAGCGCACTAGTATCTCTTCAGGCATGTAGTTTTACAGGGGCCGGAGACAAAGACTGTACACTTTCGATTGTGCCAGTGCAGTTCAAATCGAAGAAAGGTGATGTAGATGACTATCGGCAATTTTCCTTTAGTCACCGAGAGGCTAAGTGGGGGAGATTTAAACTTGCGGACGCGTTGGCTGTAACGTTAAATGATTTCCGGAATCCAGTGTGGAGTGTTTATTTTGTGGGCAACAATAAATGTTGATTCCAGATAACATACAATTATAACTCAAATAATGACAGTATTAATGTGAATAACGTGAAAAATAACGTGAAATAACGGTCAACAAAAAATAAGGCTCCCTCTCTCACCCCCTCTCCTTCCAATCCTTTTCCTAATCCAACTCAACTGACAGCTGATAACCCCATTGTGGCTATCCCCAGCACCACGTGACTCAATCACCGGAAGAGCACCGGAAGTGACAAAAAAGGGCATAAAAAACGACACAGGCCACACCTGCCTCCTACAGGTGATAAGGTGCTTCCTGGACCCTGGAAGTACAGCAACTTTCTGTACCAACCGTGTTATGAAGAAACTGAATCTGCAGGGTACCAAGAACAACATCATGTTGCGCACTATGGGCCAAGAAAAGGTTGTGGAAAGCCAAATACTTGCAGGACTGGAGGTGTCTAAATTGGACGATAACCAATTCTTTGAGCTCCCAGAAACATTTACACAGGAAACGATCCCAGTCTCAAAAGGCAACATCCCTACTCAACGAGACATTGAAAGGTGGGAATATCTGAAAGAAATCAGTATCCCAGAATTGAACGCTGATGTTGAAATTTTGATCGGCACCAAAATGAACGGAACCCTGGGAAATAATCAGCAGCCAAGGTGATGAACCTTATGCCGTGAGGATTGGGGTGGGTTGTCAACAGTCCTTTGAGGGGCAAAAATGGTTGTTGTCAGAAAAGCTGCTCGACCATATATGCCAACAGGATATCCATCGTCAGACTGGAAGAGCTGTTGGTCTCCCAGTATAATCAGGATTCCAATGAAGTCACTGGAGGAAAAGCAGGAGACGTCAATGGAGGACCTGAGGTTCATGGAGATCTTGCAGAAGTCTACTTGTATGCAGGAAGGTCATTACTGCATGGACTTACCCTTCAAAGTAGATGACTGTCTAAAATCTTTGCCCACAAAGGAAGAAGCAATGCAGTTGGTAATGGACCTTACTGAAAAATGTTCAAACGGGGGATTTCAGCTGTTAAAATGGACAAGCAATTGTCAGGCTGTATTACCATCTATTCCTGAAGCAAAGCGGTCCAAAACAACTAGGCAGCTGCACTTGGAACAAGACAACCTACCACCTTCAACCTACCAAACCTGTTGTTGCAAGAAAGGTGTGGAAAAAACATGTCCTGGGACGACCATATTCCCCAGACATTCTCACAACAATGGACAGGATGGCTGCTGGATCTAGAGATAGTGGTGGAGCTTAAAGTGGACCGCTGCATCAAACCAAAGGACTTCAGAGGTCTGACAGTGGATAACTTCCTAGCATGTAGGAGTTGGATTGGCCAAGACCCATCCACAGCTTATTTCCTGAGAAGATCCAGAGGTCAAAGGGACCTAATGGCGAACGTCATCACCTGTAAAGGTTATGACCTAACATTGGGACACGCATTGATAATGCCTGACGCAGAAGAAAGAAATCAGACATTTTTTATGACTCCCTGTTTGCTTAATGTAATTGTGCATACCTTCACAATTAGGGGCCGGTGTGTAGGAGCCATTAGTTAGGTCTGGGTATTATAAATGTATATTGGGAGCTTACCTCAGGTTGACCACATGTGGCAGTGTGGAGTGGTGTGGCAGGTAATTAATATATGGGGCACAGGTGCAACTGACGGTAATGAGGCATGGGTACCAGGGAGATCACACGGTTTTTACCGCAAGCCAGACACACCAGAGGGAGACCAGGAAGATAAGTGCTATCCTATTGTATTATCATCTGTGAACACTAATTAAACAGGAACCTCACCCAAAAGTGTGAAACGCCTGGAATCTCTTTGTTGTAGCGAGTAAGGAACAGGATCTTCTCCCACACCCAGCCGAGTGGCTAGTTGCTAGTCACTACATGGACCATGTAGAGAGCAGTGTTCAGCAGCAAATAGCCTGCCTGCCAAATGCTGCTCAGGATTCTACGCCACAGGGGCGACTGTGGCAGTTGCATGTCGATGTGTCCTTGAGCAAGACACTTAACCCCAAAATTGCTCCCGTAGCTGCGCCTACGGTGTATGAATGTGGAATTGTAAGTCGCTTTGTATAAAAGTGTCTGCTAAATGACTGTAATGTGATGCTTCGCTGCTATGAGAGCAAGGCAAAGCTTGTGATTGATGCCCGTTGAAGTCCCCACTCCAGCCACCAATGTTCTGCCGCAGCTTCCGGTCATCCATGCTGAAACACTGGCTTTGTCTGCAGATGACATCTCATCGGTGTCCTGTGCATCAGCACAGCAGTCCTTCATCAATCTCCACACAGGGAGACAATTTCAGCTGCTGTGTTTACCTACGAGCCTCATCTGTGGCTTGACTTATTCCATGTTCTCCCTCACAGATCTCTAAAGGGAAACAAAAGGGATTGGATGCTGTGATGTCTGCTGCATCTTTTTCCAGCTGGCCAAGCAGTGATGCGAGTGTGTGAGACATTATCTCAGGCTCAGACTTTTCCATGTCGGTCTCCCATGGCAATGAGGTCTGAGACAGAATATCACAGCTTTTTTGCTGTGACGCAACTGGTAACGGAATGGATGGATAAGACACTAAAATTGGGTTATTTTCTCCAGCTTTACAGTGTTCTTCCATTCATGGACATCAAGGAGGTGAATCTGTCCTCCCAGAAGATGATTGATTACCTCTCAGCAAAGATCCAAGACCTGTCACAGAAATGGGCTGTATCTTTCATCTCCTCTAACAACAAACGGAAAGGGTTTAAGTCCATACTTCCTGATTCCCAAGAAGACCGGATTTTTTTTTGTTTTGTTTTCCACCCTAAATCGGTGCATTGCCTGTAAGACGTGAAGCTGTTTCTGGAACTTGTTCATTGACTTAAATGTGCATACTTTCAGGTTGCGGTGGCTTTGAAACACAGGATATTGTTGCATTTCATCTTCCAGTGGATAGCCACCGAGAAACCAGACTGCCGTTCGGCTATGCCATAGCTCCCTGCTCCGTCAGCAGATGTGTGGACACGCATCAGCTGCTGCACAATCGAGGCATGTGGGTCTTCTTTTATCTCGGAAACCTCATCGTCATGGTGCCATGCAGGTGCTGGGGTTTGTGACAGCTGCCCATCCAGTGGTAACATGGCAATACAGTTGCTTGCTGCTTTGTGGTTATGACAAATGGGCTACCTTCAGAACAAATCCCGTCTTTGTTCAAAAGAAATTACCTTGACTTTTTCATACAACACCATCTCTTGGACATGTTTGGCCCCTTTCAGGGCTTTGCTCCCTGGAATGTTACAGGACTGGTGAAAAGGGTGGGTGTTTGTCAGTTGGTCAAATACAATTCAATGGTTAGTGGAATACGCTCCTTGTCTGCAGCTACTGCCTGTCTCTTTGACACCTACAGGATAACTTTGCTTGATCCAATTTAGTTATGTACTACCTGGGTTGAACTATGCAATCATTCACAGCCATTCACCCATTGCTTCGGAAACTTTAGGGTTAAGTGTCTTGCCCAAGGACAAATCCACATGGACTGGAAAAGTCCATCCCAGTAAGGCATCTAACCACCGATCTCATGATTGAGGGACAACCCTCTCTACATTCCGAGCTACAGTCACCCCATGTACTATTGGCCATCTTAGCTTATACAGATTTTCAGTGGGCAAATGAGTGCTATTGATTGGAAAACAGAATTACCCTTAGAGTCCAGTAAAGGATTCCGCCTGTGCTTATTGAACTATAGCTAAAACAAATATCTTACTTGCTTAAATATAAGTAGGGCATGGACAGATTAGGGTTTGATCCGGGACTGTATATAAGTGGACATAGTCCCCTTGTTATCATCTATTTTACTCGAAATGGAACCTTGATTTACTAAAAGAATGGCATGCTGTATCAAAAAATACTTCAAACTAGCAATTGAAACCATAAGCTCATGTTTGCAATGTTTACTTAGCTAATAAATCATGTGAGAAGAAGGGTCATTTTCTCATAGACTTGTATACAGTCTTACCCATGGGAAAACCAGGACTGACTCGGGCCGTCAGATCCTGCTGAAGTAAAATTACCACTTTTGTCAACAGGGGCCGCCAAAATCAGCACAAAGTTAAAGTTCCTTGTTGTAGCTTTAAAAGAGCAGCAGCAGCATCTTAAAAACTGACATTTAAAGGGTTAACATTCTGGAAATTAATGAATAGTTGTACAGTTATGATCAGGACTGATGTTGGTTAAAAAGAAGGTAACTTCGTTAAAGTGGAAAAATAATAATATTTTATAGCAGTTTTAGGAAAGTGACTTTTATCCTCTCGGGACATTTTTTTTAAACTTGACACTGTAAAAAAATAACAATGCATCAAAACCTATTTTGTTGCAAATCTTTAACATATCCCAGTGTGTGGAAATATAAATAAAAAATCCAGAAAATTATTATTATTATCTTTTTCATAAAAAGCCCACAGTGGCATTATGTAAAGAGACATTTAAAGGGTTAAAATCTAAAAAATGAATGCATATGTGGCAGTTATAATCAGGACGGGTATTGGTTGAAAGATTAAACACAGATAAAGGGGAAAAATATGTGGAAGATAACAGTTGTCATTCTCAAGGACCTTAAAACACATGCATCCTTACCTAGAAAGCTGTGTGAGGGTTTGTCCTCCACAACTTTTATCCTACTGGCTCCTGCAGGAATAATCACAGCTTCGATGTACCCTGATAAAGAGACAAAAACATGAGGTGAAAATCGATACAGAGTATAGGGTACACGCATACAAGAAACTACTACATCAGTATACAGTGGGAAGATCTTTTATTTAACTTTTGTAAACAGTTTCAGAGGCATACAGAGGTGGACATGGAGAAAATAATGGGCTGATGACTTATGTCTGTATCAGATATGCTCTATCCACTGCACATCCAACTACCATACCATTCAATTTCAGCCAACTCTGACAATCTAACTGATCCCCCTTTCGTCACCTAGTAAATATACACTAGCATTTTGCTAAAAAGTGATATACAGTAGGGACCATACCGGGAAGCATAGCAGAGCAGAACAGAGCAGATAGCATAACAGACGAACCAACACAGACAGAGGACACACAGGGTTTACACTGGGGAGGTGCAAGTGATTAAACACAGGAGGATTTAATCAGGGGCGGGGCAAAACAAATACCCTTTTCTTTACAAGAAAGAAAATTGGAACAAAGGTCAAATTGTATTTATATGGTAAGGAACTGAAAAGGACGGACTCGTACAAATTTTTAGGGATGTGGTTTGATGCTAGGCTCACATGGAATGTACATATGGATACAATGGTTAATAAATGTAAAAAGGTGTTGAATGTAATGAGATGCTTGGTGGGAACAGAGTGGGGAGCTGACAGGTCTGCTTTGAAAGCTATATATATGGGGTTGATAACGTCAGTAATAGACTATGGCTGTGTGGCTTATAGGTCAGCGTCTAAAACATTATTGGGAAAATTAGATGTAATACAAGCACAAGCATCAAGAATATGTAGTGGGGCTTTTAAAACAACATCTGTGCCAGCATTGCAGGTAGAAATGGGGGAAATACCATTGGAGTTGAGAAGATTACAGATAATGATGACATATTGGGCTAGTTTAATAATAATAATAACAATACATTTTATTTATATAGCGCTTTTCATAAAACTCAAAGACACTTTACATTAAAATCATCATATATAAAAGCAATACACTAAAAGCATAAAATACACAATAGTGGTCACACATTAAAAGCAGTTTTGAACAGGTGGGTTTTGATCTGTGATTTGAATATGGAAAGGTCAGTGCAGTCTCGGATGTGTTTGGGGAGAGAGTTCCAGAGGGAGGGGGCAGATATGGAGAAGGCTCTGTCACCCCATGTCCGGTGCTTGGTCCTGAGTGGAAGAGACAGGAGGTTGGCATCAGAGGAGCGGAGCCGATGGGATGGAGTGTGGTGGTGAAGCAGGTCGGTGAGGTAGGAGGGGGCCTGATTGTGGAGGGCTTTATGTGTGAGGAGAAGGATTTTGTATTGGATCCGTTGTGGGACGGGGAGCCAGTGGAGGTTCTGGAGAACAGGGGTGATGTGGTCACGGGAGCGGGTGTGGGTGAGCAGGCGAGCAGCAGAGTTCTGGATGTACTGGAGTTTATTTACGATTTTGGATGATGTGCCGTGGAGAATGCTGTTGCAGTAGTCAATTCTTGAGGTGATGAAGGCGTGGATCAGAGTTTCAGCAGCAGATGAGGAGAGTGGTGGGCGGAGACGGGCTATGTTTTTTAAGTGGATAAAGGCAGTTCTGGTGATTTGTTTGACGTGGTGTTCAAAGGAGAGGTTGCTGTCAAACATAACTCCAAGGTTGCGGATGTGTGGAGTTGTCGATGGTGAGGCAGAAGTTGTGACTGGTTTTGGTAAG